CAAAATGACTAAAAAATGCAGCTCTCAAATGTAAAACTAGAGCTCTCTCTCTCAGGAGGCAGCAATTGTCCCCTACACTCCACCGAAACCGCCTTACTCAAACTCTCCAACGACCTTCTAACCGTCAAAGCTAATGGCCACTATTCAGTGCTCCTACTACTTGACCTTTCTGCGGCCTTCGACACAGTCGACCACACCCCCCTCCTCCTCAAAAAACTACACTCCCTCGGCCTCAGAGATTCTGCTCTCTCCTGGCTCTCATCCTACCTGTCACAACGCTCCTTCAGCGTTACCTATAACGCTACCACCTCCCCCTCACTCCCCCTCTCTGTTGGGGTCCCTCAAGGCTCTGTCCTCGGGCCCCTTCTCTTCTCCATCTACACCTCCTCCCTTGGCCAACTCATACACTCTCACCGCTTCAACTACCACCTCTATGCCGACGACACACAAATCTATCTCTCAACCCCCCACCTCACCCCCTCAGTCTCCGCCGGAATCACACACCTACTGAGCGACATATCAGACTGGATGTCCCTCCACTTCCTTAAACTGAACCTCTCCAAAACTGAGTTTCTTGTCTTCCCCCCCAGCCCGGACACCACCCCCACTGACTTCTCCATCACATCCAACAACGCCACCATCAAACCCACCCGCAGGCCAGAGTACTTGGTGTCATTCTGGACTCCAATCTATCCTTCCAGCCCCAAGTCCAATCTTTAACAAACTTGTGCAGACTCCACCTCCCACAACATCGCCAAAATCCGCACGTTCCTAACCCCAGAAACCACTAAACAGCTCATCCACTCCCTCATCATATCACGACTCGATTACTGCAACTCCCTCCTCACTGACCTGCCTCGCCACAGGCTATCCCCACTTCAGTCCATCCTGAATACGGCTGCCAGACTCATTCACCTTACCAACCGCTCCGTTTCCGCCACCCCCCTCTGCCAATCCCTCCACTGGCTTCCGATTGCGCAACGGATCAAATTCAAAATCCTAACACTGACGTACAAAGCTGTCCACCATACTGCCCCGAACTACATCACTGACCTAATTTCCAAGTACCACCCAACACGCACACTCCGCTCCTCACAAGACCTCCTTCTCTCTAGTTCCCTGGTCTCCTCCTCCCATGCCCGTCTCCAAGACTTCTCCAGGGTGTTACCCATCCTCTGGAACTCCCTGCCCCAACCCATCAGATTATCACCTACTCTCCTCACCTTTAGGCGCACCCTGAAAACACATCTCTTCAGGGAAGCCTACCCACCCCCTGTTAACTTGCCGACCTCCTCCACTCTTCCTACCACCCCATCCCCCACAGCTATCTCCTCCCGTATTACTATCCCCTCCCTCCTAGATTGTAAGCACCAAAGAGCAGGGCCCTCAATCCCCCAATTGTATTGGTCTGTCACATGTTCTGTCCCCCTTTGTAATGTACAGCGCTGAGCGAACTATTGGCGCTTTATAAATACTGTATAATAATAATAATAATTGTGGAGGTGGTGTTCTCCTTGATGCAGGGGACTTTTGCAGGTGGGAGGGACCATTTTGTACCCCTGAATCTCTGGTACTGCTTGGACCTGCAAGGTTATTTCCTGGAACAGGGTTTCAAAAAGATCTATGTATGCTTCTAAGAAGGATCAAGGGTTCTACAGTACAGTATGTTCTTGTAACATTAGTGCAAATCCACCAATAAGTTACATTGGGGGACAATTACTAAAACTGGAGGGTACATATTCTTGTGCAAATCTGCATGGAAATCAATCAGCATCTAACTTCAGATTCTCCAATTAGGCTTTGGTAATAAAACCTGGAAGCTGATTGGTTTCTATGCAGAACTATACCAGATTTTGCACCCTCCAGTTTTATTAAATAACCCCCATTGTGTGCTGCACAGGTGTCTTTGAGAAAGTGGTTTTATTCGGGAAATGCATTGCATGAATATTATTATTATTATACAGTATTTATAAAGCGCCAATAGTTCGCTCAGCACTGTACATTACAAAGGGGGACAGAACATGTGACAGAACAATAACAATACAATGCAAAACATGAGGGGATCGAGGGTCCTGCTCTTTCGAGCTTACAATCTAGGAGGGAGGGGATGGTGGTACAGGAGGGGATATGTCAGGGTTCGCGGCGTCCTGTCGGCTGGCGCACACGCACTGGCGACGGCTCACACCGGGACACAAGCACCAGGTCCCGGCGAGCCGCAGATGACAGGACGCCGCGCATGCGCAGTAGGAGCCGTGGGCGTGCCTCGGGCGGCCAATGACAGCCCGGGGGCGCGCCCTGGACGGCCAATGACAGTGCAGGGCACAATATTTAAAGATGCCCTGCACTGTCACTAATCGCCGCAAGGTCTATCTGTGTTCCTGAGTCCTGTACCTGAGTTATTGACCCTGATTGACCCTGACTACGCTGCCTTCTCCTGTGTTTGACCCGGATTGTCCTGACTACTCTGCCTTCTCCCCTCCTGACTCCCGGCTTGTTTGACCTATCTGCGGACTGGCTTATCCTGCTGACCCTGCGTGTGACCTGACGATCTCCACCTGCCGATTCTGTACCTCGCCTACCCCACGGGACCACTGCTCGTGATCCATCCTGCTAGGTCCTGCTGGCCTCCTCACATCTGGCTCTCCCGGTACCTATACATCCCCGGAGGTTCCCTCTGCCACTGGTGGGCCTGCTCAGAGGTCGTGACCTGGTCCTGGTCTGTTTCAAGTCCATCCCCACCATCAGGGGCCCCTGGTGAAAGCACAGACCGGGACTTAGACTCCACGCTATGGGTAGGTCTGTCAAGTGGGCAGTCAGAGGCACCACCTGGCAGATCATAACAGGATAGCTGTGGGGGATGGAGTGGTAGGAAGAGTAGAGGAGGTCGGCAAGTTAGCAGGGGGTGGGGTAGGCTTCCCTGAAGAGATGGGTTTTCAGGGTGCACCTAAAGGAGAGGAGAGTAGGTGATAATCTGATTGGTTGGGGAGGGAGTTCCAGAGGATGGATGATCTGCAATAATCTATATGTAAATCTTTACTGTAAACAGGGGCTGTATTTATTTATTTGCATGATATACTGTTTTCTCTTTAGGCATGTTATCAGCAGGGGCGGACTGACAACTCATGGGGCCCCCGGGCAATAGGGGATCATGGGGCCCCTGTGTCCTTGCCCAAACTCAAAAAAGCCTATGAAAAGGTACCAGGGGCATCTCATGGGGGCCAATACTGACCCCGGGCCCTCGGGCAGTGCCCGAGTTTCCAAATGGTCAGTCCGCCCCTGGTTATCAGTTTACTTACCATGGTGATCAATGCATATGGAGCACTCTTTTGTCCCCTCAATGTCCCCAGACCAGTGTATGCCAACAACAGTATTCCTGTTCACCGCTGCACAAGTCACAGTGTCACCAGAACAATGTAAGCCAGCAACAGTGTTCCTGACTGCTTCCATACCAGTCCTAGCATCACCAGACCAGTGTACACCAGCAACAGTGTTCCTGACTGCTTCCATACCAGTCCTAGCATCACCAGACCAGTGTACACCAGCAACAGTGTTCCTGACTGCTTCCATACCAGTCCTAGCATCACCAGACCAGTGTACACCAGCAACAGTGTTCATGATTGTCTATACACCAGTGCAGTGTTGACCCTGGCTGCCACCTGCCACCTTGGCTCGTTTATTGACCATGTTTCTGCCTGCTTCCTATACTGATCCTTTGCCTGTTTGCTAATCATGCCTCTGCTTGCCGCCTGAACTGACCCATCTGCATGTTCAACTGACTATATTCCTGCAAGACAGCATTCCCAACTATCCCTGCAGACAACTCTCAAGAACCCTTCTGTTCTTCCTTCCTTCAGCCTCCTATACTGCCTGGCCAGTGAACATGGCGGTTCTAGGGGCAGCCACGTGCCAGTAGGCTAGACTCGCTTGACTTGACAGAGACTGCTATAGTAGACATTACACTAAGCTATATTCCCTGACCACTCAGGCAGAGGCAACCATTACAGTACACTGTTTTTGATACAGTTGGTTGATTTGTGTAATTCCCACGATACAATACATGTCCAGGTACATACTCAGTCCAAACACTGAAAAAGTCTCTCTTGCGATATTGCCATACTTGAGAGGAGTAGCAGAATGTATTTTAGTTTGTAATTTTAAGTATGCCCATGATGTGTATGAGAAATATCTTAAATTGACAATTTTGTGTAAAAAAAAAAAAAAGAATTTAAAATTTTCTTTCAGCATTTTCCAAAAACCTGTGGCAAAAAAGGAAGTCTTCCAATGACTTACCATGTCATTCAACTCATTTCAACTGACTCACCATTACAAAATATCTCGGACTGCTTACTCTCTAACAGGTGATCCTTTTGTGGGTGTTCCCACTGGCCTGTTACTCCAGGGCCTCCAAAAATATTGATGGTAATCAGGAAATTAGGCATGTAACACATATGAAACATAAATAAACAGCGCAAAAATAGATCTCTAAATCCAATCAATAAAATTATTATATAAAGTGCAAAATAAATATATCATAAACCATGAATTAACCACTTCCTGACCGGCCGTTGCATATAAACGGCCGGACGGTAGCAGTGCAGGGTCGGGTGGCCGTTTATAAACGGCCTCCCACACCCTGCTTGTGCACGCTCCCTGGGAGCACGCAGCACCGCGATCCGGTGCCCGCTGTGTCCTCCGGACACAGTGAAACACCGATCGTAGGACGGGACCTCTGTACGAGGTCCTAATCATGTGATCGCTGATTGGCCAATCAGTGATCACATGCAAAGTAGTAAGAAAGATGTCACTTGTGACATCATTGCTTACTATGTGTGAAATCTGTGAATGATCACAGAGGTCACATGGTACAGGGCTATTCACAACAGCCTTGTACCATGTGACAAGCTGTGACCAATCACAGCTCACTCAGTACTTCTCAATGAGTGCAAGAATGCAGCCAGAGAGAAAGAGAAATGATTGCTTTTACATCCTATATGGGTGTAAAAGCAATCAGTGTAAAAAAAAAAACAAAAACATCTTCATCACCCCCCACAAGTAGTACAGTGTCACCAGGAGATGACCAGAGACTGCGGACATAGTACAGGGGATGACCAGAGACTGCGGACACAGTACAGGAGATGACCAGAGACTGCGGACACAGTACAGGAGATGACCAGAGACTGCAGACATAGTACAGGAGATGACCAGAGACTGCAGACACAGTACAGGTGATGACCAGAGACTGCGGAGGACACTGCAGGGGATGACCAAAGACTGCAGACAGAAAAGGAGATGACCAGAGACTGCGGACCTTTGGGGAGGGAGGGGGAGTGGAATTTGACAGGTACCCGCTCCCACTTCCGTGGAGTTTGTCCTTCCTTCTTCTTCCCGCGCTGGCTTCTGTGACAGCCGGGTGCCCATTGCGCATGTGCGAGAAGCGCTGTGCTTTGTGAATGGCCCGGAACCTTCTGGGACCTGTCATGTGTCCCAAAAGACGCCGGACCATTCACAAAGCGCAGCGATTCTCACGCATGCGCAATGGGCACCCGGCTGTCACAGAAGCCGCGGCGGGGAAGACTGCAGTGCTGGAGCGAGGAACAGGTAAGGTCCTGCAGAAGAGAAGAGCTGAGCGGCCGGCCGGCCCAATATTCTGACATGGTGGCGGCAGAAATACCAGACCGGCCGCTTTATATTCGCTGTATAAGGCGCACTGACATTTTCCCCCCTTTTTTGGGGGGAAAAAAGTGCGTCTTATGGAGCGAAAAATACGGTATTTGCAAAGTTTTATAATGTCGCTCTGTTGGATAGCATCTCTTCTTGCTACACCCCAATGGCACTGATTGTTGGAAATTGAGAGATTTTTTTGAGCACAGACACTTTAACCTCCCTGGCGGTCTGATTATTTCAGATTTTTGGTGCTGAAAGCGGTACCATTATTTTGCATGGAAATATGTAGTTTTTTATTGTAGGCTGTAATTTTTAAGAATAACTCACTGAAATCTGTCTGAACAAGAGTCTAGTAAACATCCCGGGGAGGATAAAATTTGAAACACGAAATCAGATAAATTGTAATTTAATAGATAATCATAAAAAATAATAATATAATAATAATACATTTAATTCAATAATATAATCAAACCGAAAACACTGAAATGTGAAATATAGCGCCAAGTTCGCACATCGCTGAGCAAAGTCGCAAAATCGTTTTCAGTGTCTGATGACGAATTTCCCCCACGAATCATTATCACTCAATTCTGCAAGTGGTTCTGATTTACTATCGCTGTTCTCTAGCTGATCTAAAACCGCTTTTGACCTAAAGGGACGCTTTTTGGACGCCATGGACGTTTCTCAGTTTCCAGGCAGAAAGAACAGTCAAAATGCAGGCAGGGCGCCGGACAAAGCACTCGGGACAATATGTATGTGAAATGGGTTGAAACAACAATGTTTTACTATGTAAAATTTGTTTGAAAAAAAATGAAATTTTTTAAAATTTTCAAATTTCCACCGCCAGCGGCGCCCGTACGTCCCAACGTCACAGGGACTGGAACACAGAAGCCGGATGCCGGCATCGGCCGGAGGAGATGGCCGGGAACCCTGCAGGGGAAACATCGTGGGAGCGAAGGACAAGGTAAGCGCTGCAGGGACCCCCTGAGCAGCGCCGCATGGTAAGCCCGAGTGTAGCTCAGGGGGGTTACCGCTTTTGGTACTCAAATTTTACCCCGAGCTACACTCGGGAATACCGCTAAGGAGGTTAAAAAGTTTGAAGGCATTGTGCATTATAAATATAACTGAAGCACTTGGACACTTTATATGCACAGAGAAACTTTATTGAAGCACAAAGGACATTTCATTGAGTCATGTTTCATTTGTATTTGTGGATACGCTTGTTTATTGCACATGTGTAACAAAAACCAATAGCGCTGTATAAAAGATAGGCTATATAAGGCGGATACGTTTAGTCATTGGGTAATAAATAAGCGCTGTCTTTAGCGTGAAATGTGTTTGCCTGCCAATCCCCCACCGTATTTCCACTGTCTGTATTGGTTTTATCTTGGTTCAATAAAGTGGATTGTTTGGAGTGCAGCCAATCAGACGTCCTTTGTTCTCATCTATGCAGCGCAGGAGCTGGACTAGCACCTACAGGAGGAGTTGCGCTTGTAGATTGGAATCTCTCTACCTTGAGCAGCGGTAAATGTATACGATTAGTATAGCACTTGGTACAGCAGCTGCGGTGAATTAAGGGATCGCATCCAAAGTGCTGATTCACATTATTTAAAGTGAGCCTGTACACAATTCATACATGCTAAAGTATTTACATATTCTAAACAAGCAATGGAAGCACTTTAAAACAAATTCTCATCCATCCCTGTATCTATAGGTATTAGGAAGAAATTAATTTTCACAGCACAAGCACTTGTCAGATCTTGGCAGGCTACCAGTCCTTTAGGCCCCATATACACGGGACGTTTCTGAACAATGCAAACTGACTGCTGGAAAATGTAGGTTAAAAAAAGTCTGTTTAGCCGCGTTTGTATAATGCGTTTTGCGTGTAGAAGCGTTTTTTTAAAGATAAGCACAGGAGACCCTCCCAAATGCCCAGAATGCACTGCAAAAGTGGTACAATATTAACTATTTCAGACTGTTTCAGAGAAATACAGAGAGTAGAAGCAGAGAGAGCAGTACAGTTGCAAGAAAAAGTATGTGAACCCCTTGGGATTACGTGGAGTTTTGCATGAATTGGGCATAAAATGTGCTCTGAACGTCATCTAAGTCACAACGATAGAAGAACACAGTCTGCTGAACATAATACTAACACAAACATTAGATGTTTTTTGCCATGGTTTAATTGCACATAACATGTAAACATTCACAGTGCAGGGAGGAAAAAGTATGTGAACCTTTGGACTTAATAACTGGTTGACCCTCCTTTGGCAGCAATAACCTCAACCAAACGTTTCCTGTAGTTGCAGATCAGACCTGCACAACGGTCTGGAGTCATTTTGGACCACTCTGTTTGTGTAGTATTATGTTCAGCAGACTGTGTTCTTCTATTGTTGTGACTTAGCAGAAAAATAAATTGCAGTATCTATACATAGTTTGTAGGACGCTACTAAATGACATTCAGAGCACATTTTATGCCCAATTCATGCAAAACTCCACGTAATCCCAAGGGGTTCACATACTTTTTCTTGCAACTGTATGTGTTGAGATAATCAAAGGTGTGAGTTGCTCATTAACATTTCTTTTATTTCCAAGGGTGGGAAAGATCTCTGGTGGAGTCATTAAGGCCACCTGGCAGGAGGTCTTCATGAGGAATTTGAGGTATGAGAAATGGGCATTAACATATCTTTTGTTTCCAAGGGTGGGAGAGGTCTGAGGTATGAATGGGTATTAACATATCTTTTGTTTCCAAGAGTGGGAGAGGTCTGAGGTGTAAATAGTCATTACAATGTGTGAGAAGCTCTGTAGGAACATCCTGTGTTAAGTGTTTTGTCCATCTTGAAAACTCTTTTCATGATGAAAAAAGGCTCTGGCCAGCATTGGGAACTGGAAGAGTTAAAAAAAAAATCAAACGCAAACACTTATAAACCCAATTTGCCGCGTTTAGCCGCGTTTACAAGCGTGTTGCGTTTGAAAATGCTGATAAAATCGACGTCTAAAACGCAAGTTTGTTGCGTTCAAAAAAACGACTGTAAACTCAACTGCCTGTAAACGACTGTAAACGAAGATGTGTACATGGACACATAGGAAAACATTAGGGTGAGTTCAGGGGCTGCTGGAAAAAAACGATGAACAGCTCCTAAACGTGCGTTTATCAGCTGCAGTGTACATGAGCCCTTAATGTAAACAAGCAGCAGGTGTTTCTAAGTTCCTTAGAAACTGACTGATACTAGATTCTAGAGTCTTTGTTGTGATCTTTGAGAGTGAATACCTTCTTATGAAAAGCAGCTAGAGAGGGACATCTTGTATTAAAATGATTTCATTGCTTGGATAAGAACAATTGAGTACTGTCTGTGATACTTTTTTTATTTGCACTAACAAACAATTTTAAGGACAAGCTTTCGGGGAATGTCCCCTTCTTCAGGTCAAGCAGTACTGATCACAAAGGGTTAGAAGAGATGTTTTGGAGTTGGAAGGAAAAAAAGAAAAAAAAAAAAAAAGAGGACAGATAAGATAAGACACAGCAAAAGCAAAGTCTAGGGAGGGGGGAGACTACACTCACAGAGGCAGTGATGCTTGAGGTGATAAAACTGTTGGATAATGAGTGAGGAATCCCATGTCCAAATTCAGGCCGTTATCTCTTGTGTCAAATAGAATTATCATTCTTAGTTCAAAAGTTTTTCTTTCCTGAATGGATTTGAAATTTCCTTTAACCAATTCAATACCGGGCAATTTTACACCTTCCTGCCCAGGCCATTTTTCACGTTTCAGCGCTCTCACAATTTAAATGACAATTGCGCGGTCACACAACATTGTACCCAAACTAAAATTTTATCATTTTCTTCACACAACTAGAGCTTTCTTTTGGTGGTATTTAATCATCTCCGGGGTTTTTATTTTTTGCTAAATTAACAAAAAAGACCAGAAATTTTGAAAAAAAAACACGTTTTTCTTTGTTTCTGTTATAAAAGTTTGCAAATAATAATACTAAAAAAATAATTGTTCTTCATAAATTTAGGCCGAGATGTATTCTGCTACATGTCTTTGGTGAAAATAACCCAAATTAGGATGTATTATTTAGTTTGTAGGAAAGTTATAGAGTTCACAAACTATGGTATAGATCTGAATATTGATCAATCCTGAAGTACTGACAGCCAATCTAATTTCTTGAGTTCCAAGAATGTCAGAATAGTACAGATATCCCCCAAATGTCAGGACAGTACAGATATCCCCCAAATGTCAGGACGGTACAGATATCCCCCAAATGTCAGGACAGGACAGATATCCCCCAAATGTCAGGACAGTACAGATATCCCCCAAATGTCAGGACAGACAGATATCCCCCAAATGTCAGGACAGTACAGATATCCCCCAAATGTCAGGACAGGACAGATATCCCCAGTCAAGACAGTACAGATATCCCCCAAATGTCAGAACGGTACAGATATCCCCCAAATGTTAGAACAGTACAGATATCCCCCAAATGTCAAGACAGGACAGATATCCCCCAAATGTCAGAACAAATGTCAGAACAGATATCCCCCAAATGACCCCTTTTTGCAGAGTAGACAGTCCGACGTACTTCATAAGAGGCATGGCGAGTTTTTTGAAGTCGTATTTTTTTTGTCATAATTTTTCTAAAAATGAAAA